GACCCAGCCATTCCTCTCATAGGTGTTTACCCAAGAGAAATGAAAGTGTATGTCCAGAAAGAGGCTTGTACTGAAGTGTTCATAGCAGCTTTATTTGTAATAAACGAAAACTAGAAACAGCCTACATGTTCATCCACAGGCTGATGAGTAAACAATTTGCAGTGTATATATACAATGGAATACTGTTCAGAAATAAAAAAGAATAAATTATTGAAAGGGGCAAGAAGTAGATAAATCTGACAAGAATTATTCAGAATGAAAGAATCCAGACAAAAAAATAGATACTGTTTGGTTCCATTAATATAAAATTCTAGAAAATGCAGATATATATAGACAGAAAGCACATCTGGGGTTGCTTGAGGATGGGGGCTGTCAAGGGGGCACAAGAGAGAACTTGCAGAGGAATTGCTTTTCGGGGTGATGGGTGTGTTTTTAATCTTGAGTCTGGTGATGGTTTCACAAGAATATATTTATGTCAAAAACTGTACATTTTAAATGTGTGTACATTATTGTATATAAATTTTACCTAATAGAGGTGTTAAAGATTAGAGAAAAACAAATCGGAATGCTATTAGGACAATGTTTGTTAGACAAAACTGCAGATAACATTTCTTTTGGCAGCTAACAAACCTATCCCTCTCCTATTTCTACTGCTTTGGACTGCACTCTAACTAAAGTAGCTTTCATCCTAGGGCAAGCAGTCCCCAGCTCTGAGTCCTGGGGAAGATTTTTGTTACTTCCTACTGGCCCATGCCTGTGCAGACAAGAAGGAATAGGAGGCGCAGTCATAATCTTTGAATGGAGAAGGGGCGAAGGGGTAAAGGCATCAGTGCCTGACCAGGGCCCAAGGATAAGGAAGGGCAAGAGCCTGCACTGCGTAGGTCCAGAGATGATGACTTATCATAATTTCACCATTTTAACAAGCATTTTTGTTACTTTGTATTCCCTTCCAGGGATTTGTCCTTAAGGCTGAATATTTTTACCTAGAAGTTACCGTATAATTTTGTGCTCAGCCATTTTACTATCATAACATCATATATATCTTTGCTGCTTTAAAAAATGTTGAGGAAATATTCTTCCCAAGAAGACAGAATTAGACCTAGAGCAGCCACTTAGAAGATTAAAAGCAAACACTGAGAATTTTTCCTTAGCAGGAGTAGCTAAAAGCAAATTCTTTTTTTCTTTTCTTATTTAAAACTTGAGGTATAATTGACATATAACATCATATTAATTTCAGGTGTACAACATAATGATTTAATACTTGTGTATATGCTAAATGATGACCACAGTTAGTCTAGTTAACATCACCATACAGTTACAATTTTTTTCCTGGTAATGAGAACTTTTTTAAGATCTGTTCTCTTAGCAACTTTCAAGTATGCAATACAGTATTATCAACTATAGTCATCATGCTGTACATTACATAACCATGACTTATTTATTTTATAACTGAATGTTTGTACCTTTTTAACCTCTTCACCCATTCCCACCCCTGCCACCTCCACTCCCTGCCTTTTGCAACCACCAAACTATTCTCTGTATCTGTATTGTTGTTGCTTTTTTAAGATTCTATATATATATGAGATCATAGGATATTTCTTTCTCTGTCTGATTTATTCCACTAAGCATAGTGCCCTCAAGGTCTATCCATATTGTCACAAATGGCAAATTTTCATTCTTTTTTATGGCTGAATAATATTCCATTGCGTATATTTTGTGTGTGTGTATAAATTTATGTGTGTTTATACATATATATATTTATGTGTGTGTGTGTACGTGTGTGTATATATCTTTATTCATTCATCCATCTATAGACAATTAGGTTGTTTCCCTATCTTGGCTATTGTAAATAATGATGCAGTGAACATGGGGGTGTATATATCTTTTCGAGTTAGTGTTTTCATTTTCTTCAGATAAATACCCAGAAGTGATATTGCTGGATTGTATGGTAGTTCTACTTTTAATTTTTTGAGAAAACTTCATAGTGATTTCCATAGTGGCTTACCAATTTATATTCCCACCAACAGTGCACAAGGGTTCTCTTTTCTCCATCCTCACCAACATTTGTTATTTCTTTTTCGTAACAGCCGTTTTAACAGTGTGAAATATGGTTTTGATTTGCATTTCCCTAATGATTAGTGATTTTGAGCATCTTTTCATGTGCCTATTGGCCATCTGTATATCTTCCTTGGAAAAATGTCTGTTCAGATACTCTGCCCATTTTTTAAACAGATTGTTTTTTGTTTTGTTTTTTTGGCTATTGAATTGTATGAGTTCTTTATATATCATTTATATATATTAATTAGCCCCATCAGATACATGGTTTGCAAATATTTTCTCCCATTCTGTAGGTTGCTTTTTCATTTTGTTTCCTTTGCTAAAAAGCAGAAGCTTTTTGTTTGATATAGTCCCACTTATTTTTGCTTTTAGTATCTTTGCTTGTGATGTCAGATCCAAAAAATCATTGCCAAGACTGATGTCAAAGAGTTTACTGCTTATGTTTCTCTTTTAGGAGTTTTGTGGTTTCAGGTCTTAGCTTCAAGTCTTTAATCCATTTTGAGTTAATTTTTGTGTATGATGTAAGATCGATGTCCAGTTTCATTCTTTTGCATGTGGCTTTCTAGTTTTCCCAACACCATTTATTGATGACGCTGTCCTTTCTCCATTGTATATTCTTGCTTGCTTTGTCATAAATTGACCATATCTGTGTGGGTTTATTTCTGAGCTCTCTGTTCTGTTCCATTGACCTATGTGTCTGTTTTTATGTCAGGATCATTACTGTTCTTATTCCTATGGCTTGGTGATAAAGTTTGAAATCAGGAAATGTGTTGCTGCCTCCTTTGTTCCTCTTTCTCAAGTTTGCTTTGTTTGGCTATTCGGGTCTTTTGTGATTTCATACAAATTTTAGGAGTTTGCTCTATTTTTGTGAAAAATGGCATTGTAATTTTGATCAGGACGGCCCTGAATCTGTAGATTGCTTTGGGTGAGGCTTAGCATCTGGAAAAAAATGAAAGTGCTATAAACTTAGTGGTCAAAGATGCTCCATTTAATGTCTCTCATTTTTTTTTTTAAGTCGAGAAGTGGTAGTTTCATCATTATTAGCAGGGATAGGTTTAAAAGAAGTGTATGAAAATAATATTATATCACTGAGCTCCTTTGTAGGAAGATCCCAAATGACAGAATTAACTGTTACTGATGAGTAGAATTTTGACTTTGAGAAAATACTTGAGAGCAAAAATCACCTGGTGCTCCTTAACATGTTAGTGTCCACGACCTTTAGATCACCAGAAACAAATAAATAAGGAAAGTATCAACTGGATTTAACTGTTCGGGATACATACAGCAAACCAGCATACAACACAGTTCACATCTAAGTGGGAAACTTTCAGTCTGACTCCAATGAATTTATGAATTGAGATGAGTTGTGGAAGGCAAGGAAAAGGCATTTTAAAAATGTGTCTGGGATGGTTTCAAAGAATTTCATAAATGAATACCTAGGAAATGCCTTGGAGTGTTGGCGGCATATATTTTGGAAAGTATTTTAGAGGCTTGAGAGGGAGTAATAATATTTCTCATTTATATTTGTAAGACTCGTAATTTCTGTTTACTAAAATAGAATGTATTTAAAGTTTTGTTTGTTTTTCTGACTCTAGGAAGGTAACATTCAGTTTTAAAGGGCAAGGTGTATGGTAGGTATTTGCTATTGTTTTGGCCACTCGGCATCTGAAACTCCTTTCTGTGTTGGAATTTCCTGCTTTTGTGTCTAGAAGGTGGAGGGTGGAAAATCCTAGATGCTTGCTTTCTCCTTTGGAGTTAATATGCAGACATGTGACCTGCTGTCACCATTCAGATCTACCTGCACTCGATTTTGACTAGGAGCTAGTAACACAAAAATAAAATAGGCAGCAACATCCCCAAAGCAAAAATAATAACTAAATCTAGAAACGATGAAGTGTTTTCTCTCTTTTTTGGAAGAGTCAGCTATAGCAGCTGTTGGAAAAAACCACTAAAAAAAGTGCCTCTTGGTGCAGGACTAGCAGCAGTGTTGTTTATGGGGGGCAGGACAGGGGGAAGTGCAGTTCTAAGATCTGATTCCACTTAATATTTTTAATCAATTTGATTAAAAAGTAGCAGCTGGTCATTATACAAAATTTAGGAACTATAGAAAGTCAATGTATACGTGCTTCCGTGTGTGTGTGTACGTGTACACACACATATGTAGGAGTTTCTTTACCGCATTGGCTCATACCCTATAGTTTTATGTTTACTCTTTTAATGCTATTTTCTATGCCATTTTTGGACAATTCTAAATAGCGACATACTTTAACTGCTCAGCTATTGAATAGAGTCTCTAATATTTTGCTGCTAAAGCTTCAAAGAATATTCTTATATATAAATCTTTGACTAGATCTCTGCTTTTTCCTTTGGGATACATTCCTGGATAGCAGATTATGAATTCAGTAAAATTTGAAGCTTTTAAAGGCTCTTCGTACAGTTGTAAAATTTCTCTCCAGAGGTGGCTGATCCACTGTTGAATCTCTAATGGATTTTAACTATAAAGCACTGACAGAACTTTCATAAGACTGGATTGTCAGACTGCAAACATTTAAAAGAATGAACATGGTTCCCGTTAGGAGTGTACTACTTGCCTCACATGGCAACGTGCTTTAGAGACATTATCACATTTAATCCTCACAATGGCACTTTCATTGGTACTTTTATCTCATCAATAAAATGGGGGGAAATGACCAGATATTTTGCTTAAGATCACATAACTCATAAAATGACGACTCAGGAATCAAGCATCGGTTTTCTGATTTCAAAGTTCATTTTCATTCCCTTATATCATTGCAACCCAAGACCTTAAATCATTTTGTTTTAAATGAATACTTGGGAGGAAAGATATATGGGCCAATTAGAAGCAGGAAAAAGGAGGTGAGAAGCAGTTAAAAGGCATGTCGTCTTAGTTAAAGGGATTTACAAACTGACAAAACACAGTGTTGGCTGGGCATTTTAGCCAATGAGCATTTATTAAAAGCCAGGGGTGCACCAGGCACAGTTCTTGTGCAGCAGGCTAGCAAATACAAATGATGTAGCCAATTCACTTGTTAGTTTATCTGATTAAACAAAATACATTTCATAGAAATGATTATAAAATGCATTGTAGATAAACGGAATATCTTTTATATTACAGATCTTAGGGTACCTAAATAATTATTAATAAAAACCAGCCAACCCACATGGTAAATAGAAGTTAGCAAACCACCAGTTACATATTTTAGTCAGCAAAAGAGAAAAACATGCTATCATCATGCTGCACTGGGTTTCAGCATTAATTACGGACATCCTGTTCCGAAATGAACATAGTCCACGTACATTCTTAAAAATTCAATGTTTTTCATCTGGTTTCAAATCAGTATTATACTTTTTGTTTTAAAGATTAGTTCTGGTTTCAAAGTAAGTTTAATTTAGTGCTTTAGTCTCATGTCTCACAGATTCGTGATCTGGGGAGAATCAGTCCTATTAAGTATTAGTTAGAGGAACAAAACATAAAACGGGATAGTTTAATCTGCTTTGCTTGATATTTTTGCCAATATTCAACTGACAAGATACAAGGTGACTTAAACCAGAACATAACAGCAGAAGGAAAAAGACCCCAAAACTAAAAATGTTATTTATTTGAATCAAATCTATCCATTAGAGCTTTTTTTTTTCCTTCACTTTTTTGGCAAGTCATGGCAAACTCTTTCAAGGACCATATCAAGTTTGTTGGCACATGATATATCCTTTAGTTTGAAGGCTGGTTAAGCGGGCTATACGGGGAGAAGAGGAACGTGGGTAGGACTTAAAAGGCACGGAGTGGAGTGTGTTTGGTGACACAGTCACAATAACCCACTGAACCACACTCATCCAAGAGTGACCACTGGGCCCTTCCTGAGACCTCCAGAGATGGGTCTGTTTTCTTCAGGCAGCAATACTGAAAACGTCCTCAGAGAGTCAAGGTCCACTTTTATTGCACAGGAACCAAAATTGTCCCCCTTTCCCCCTTTCCTGAGCCAGAGACCTCCAGGGGCAAGCATGGCTGGGGTTGCCTGTCCGCTCGCTCCTCTGGCCGGCAGGGAGTGCTCCACCAGAACACCTCGGGGAGCACCTACTTGAAAGGGAAGTGCGAGGTATTCCATTAGCCCAAGCAGTCTGGCCGGTCAGTCCCCATTCTCAAGCAGCTTTTGTAAGTTGTTTTGTATCTTGAAATAATAAGAGAAAAGCTCCTGTTATTAAATAGAATGGAGTATATTAAGGTCATATTTGCTATGGCCTATATAATGCTTCAGATTAATCTATTCTGCCTTGAATAAAAAGCTACACATGGGTTAAATTTAGACCAAGCAAATAAATGCATTGTCATGGAATAGAATTCTATTTGACAATCCATTTTAAAATGAAAAGAGACAAGGTGAAAAATGAAAGAGTGGAACAAAGATGAAAATGTCAGGAGAGACGAAGAGAAACAGAACAAAAGCTCAGGCAACACCAGGTGTGACCCAGATGCATTCAGTGACAATGAGAAGCTGGTTTTGACAAAGTCCATCTAATGGTCTGAATCAGACAAACACCACAAATAATGAGCACCCCCGTCAGGTACAACATTTCCCAGAAGACAGAACTGCACGGGGACCGTGCCTGTCTTTGGATCTCAAGACCACAGTACAGCGTTGGGGACTGAAAATACGCTTGGTAAATGTTTGTTGGGTAAACGAACTAGGAATTCTCAAGAACCAATACTGCGATGGGAGTAGGGAACCCCGTGGAACAAAAGGAAGAGAACATAGTCTTCTTTTGGGAGGACAGGCACACACAGGGTAAGTGGAGAGCAAGAGATCTAATCAGCACGTGCCGGGAACATGTGTGGCCACCGTAACCACACACCACCACCCAGAGGCAGGTTTTACACATGAATCAAAGGACCAGAGCATTTATGTAACAAGACCAGTCACACAGTTCGTTAAGTGGCAGAGTAGGGAAAAGAACAGACATCTGACTCCAGAGTTTATGCTCTTTCCTCTGCACTGTTCCACCAGTAATGCCATTTCCAGCGCTAAGAAGGTATTTACTTCTTTACCTGTAGAATGCACTGCCTTTATCACCCACATTCCTACTTCATGTCTTCCCTACCCATCCCTCAGGACCAAAGATAAATGAAAAAGCAGGAAAGGAAAGGTAGAAAAAAAAATGAAATAAAAGACATACCCAAAATATTTAAAACACCTACAAAGACAACAACCCCAAAAGTAAAACAAAGGAGATAAATGGGCAATTTTTAGAAGAAAATCCATATGGCCAACAAATACATCAAAACATGCTCAAGTGCAGTAATAATCAGGAAAGTAAAAACAAAAACCATACTGAAATCTGATTTCACACTATCAGACTAGCAGGAGGGGCCGCAACGGAGAATTTGAGGAGACACTGGTAGCTGGATTGTGCAGGACTTGTCAACTAATTGGTCTATCAGTGACAAGTGAAAAAGCCCGGAGTTAAAAATTATTCTTAAATTTCCCACGAGGACTGAAAGGGCAGTGATGCCATGGACAGAAATTGAGATGTTACACACAGGGCAGGTCAAGGGGCTGAGACGTGAGCAGTCCCTGCGGAGTAGGAGTGGCTGGTATTGCGTGGGCAGAGCTGAGACTTGGCTCCAGTTTCCCACAGCTGCTGTCCGCCCACCGTGCCGGGCCCCTGGGGCACCGCCAGACCGCCTGTGGCGGGTGGGGGTGAGCAGGCCCAGCCACGAGAACTCTGTGGCCTGTTTTTATGCCAAGATCCCTGTGAGCAATGTGTGCAACTAAGGACTTTTTACAACTTCAACAGGTGCAAATTTTGACCCTAAATCCACTCTTCTGCTCCGGGACCAAGGTTTCTGTTGGTCCTACCCGCCTCCTAGCTGAGCAGCTGGGCTCCGTCTGAAGCCTGCACAAGATGGAGCCAGCTGCCTGCCTGTAGTGGACAAGCTTTCCTGTTTTCCAGTCCCTCACTGTGGAATGTGGTGTCCCCACCAGGCCCAGCAGGAGAGTGGGAAGAAGTGCAAAAGAGAGCAGCAGGGTTCTGGGTGCTTCCAGTCCAAAGAACATCACTGCATGCCAGAGTGAGCGAACGAGAAAACTACCACCACCCTGTTCTCTAGGTCAGCATGGAAGCCAAACATTTCATCAAAGAATTTTTTTTTTATCCTCAACTCTTAGCAACTAACATTTCCCAAAGGGAAACAATTTTGGTTGCCACCCCATACCTTCTCTAGGTTGATTCTGGATTTCAAAGAGAAAAAATTTCCAAGGTTATCCACAGATACAGTGATTCAGTGGGAATGATCTGTCATGCTTTGGTTTAGAACAGAAGTTTGCCAACTCCTTTGCTCTACATACTTAACTGGTTACATGCTAGATACCATTCAGTATCGAAGGACAAGTATAACTTGACTCATTTGTATTTCATGTTCTCAAGTGAGCTTAACTGCACTATTAAGGAAAGCCACCAGATACTGGGCTTTGGTGCCAACGATGTGAACAATTCACTGTAAACCTTTTCTTCAGGGTTAAGGGTCAAGACAAAGCCTCAGATGGGAAGGGACAGACATGCTGAAAGGAGAAGTAAGCGATGTTAACTTGGTTTAGCTTTGGAATATTTCTGGCATGCCTACCTTCTCCTGTTCACCCCCCCTGTTCAGTGGCCTTATTCTCAGAGCCAGAGGTTGGGTTCTGAGGAGCAGTAAAGCAGAGGGCTTCTAAGCACAACGCTGGAGTCAGAGCCGGTTCAAATTTCCAGGTCTGCCAGCTTTTGAGGTGTGTCTCCTTGAGCAAGTTAACTTGAAACTTTGGTTCTTTTGTCAGATGGAAATAATGACACGTATGGTATAGAGACTGCATGCAATATTCTGTGTGTGGCACTGGTCAGCCTGGGTGGCGCTGGGGCTGTCCTCTCTGGTCGGGACACTCCCTGCTGTGTCCCTCCCCTGAGCCTTGGGTCAGCTGTCACTTCCTGCTGGGCCCTGCGGTGCAGAGCATTATTTCTAACCGATGCGGAAAACCACAAGATCAACCAACACGGAAAATAATCTTGAAACCTATTTGTGGAAAATTCCCTGGCTGGGCTTGGTCATTTACCCTGCCTGCTTGCACACCAGTGAGTGTGTAACCCCTGACCTACGGCCACGGACAGGTACTACTGCGACTGTCCCCAGAAAGATGGAAAGAAAGCCGTCACCTTTTCTAATCTCATTATGTTAGCTGTGAGCTCTTGGCAGAGGACCTCCACATTCAGCTGTACTTGTGACCCCAGGCCGGATGGTGCTGTCTGTCTGTAAGAACAAAGAGAAGAACTATTGTGGGCAGGGATGGCAAAGAAAGAAGTGGGATGAACACAGTTTAAATTGATTCGAACAGAAACCTAGGTTAAAATAGAAGACAGTAAGCATTTAACATCTTAACATCCGAAAGGCTCTGCAGTAATCCACAAGTCTGGATGAGATGTTTAGGGGACTAATTCTTCAAAGCTCAGCTGGAAGTCCCTCAAGCTATTTTTGTTTAAGTGGCGGTGTTGTGCGATCAGACAATTATTCTCAAGCACGCGGTTTCTTAGATCCTATTTATTAACTCCTGGTATCCTCTCTCTGCCCACAACAGCACATGTTTGCAAGGATTTTGATCTTCTCAGTCATATACACAGTGCTTATGGGGGAAGCAACCACTTACACTAGAACTTTCATAACATTTAAGAATGTCTTTATCTAATCAAATGTCTGTTGACATGTGAGACATTTGTAGTTCCTTCTTTGAGACCTGCTGTACAAACAGAATCGCCCTTGTAATATAACTGATGTAGTCACTATTTGCCATTTGACTTTTACTCTGGGGTCCACTGAAGTCCTATGCCTGCTAAAACTAGGAAATTTAGAGTTGTGTGTACTTTTTCCTGGAGAGTTAGTCTAAAACCCTGTATTAGATTTTCTTTTTCGGTGGGGAGGGTACTTAGGTTTATTTATTTACTTACTTATTTTATTTTATTTTATTTATTTTTAGAGGAGATACTGGAGATTGAACCCAGGACCTTGTGCATGCTAAAAAAATAAGCACATGCTCTACCACTGAGCTAGACCCTGCTCCCCTTTATTAGATTTTCATTTTAAGGTTAAGAACCATGGTCTGTATCTCCTCTGTATTTCTCAGTTGTAATTTAATTTTAGCTGTCAAATTTTTAGATGGCAATGACTGGTCTAATTTATTTTACATATGATCCGTTTTTAAGATAAAGGCACTTGGCAACTTACTGATGATTACCTTAACTGTGAAGACAGTGGTCAGATGTGTTTCATTGTGTAGTACCAAGACAGTTTTTTCCTTTATCCTTGATCTATAGCATCAAAACCTTAGATTCCAAGAAGGAAACTGAATCTAAATTTTCTGGTGTCTAGATGAGGGATCTGAGACCCAGAGTACTAATTTATCTACATGAAATTCTGACGGACTCTGACGGTCTGTAGGCTGTGAACATACTAACAAAGCTAGTACCCTGTATGTATTCAGACAGATGTCTCTGCCTCTGCAGTAACAAAACCACCAGATTACAAGTGTGGCTTCAGCTACCTGGGCAACATGAGTGGATGACCCTGGATGAAGTAAGATACTGAGGAAGCTCGAGTCCTGTTAAATTACTTTATTAACAGACCTTATCATCAATGTGCCCTGACCTCCTGTCATATGTGACATTTGTGATCTTTTTCTTTTCAATGCTGTTTTTCTTGTACCCGCTCTGGGCTGATTATTTAAAGAGCAGAAGAAATATTCCATTTGCCTTCCATTAGTGGAATTTCCTCCTCCTCATCACCAAGTTAATTAAATGATAACAGGACATGAGGTATGTTTTCCTAATAAAATCCATCCCTTAAATGATAGTGAACTAAAAGTCTGCAATAATGTAGTCACCTTCTAGATCTAAGTCTATTAACATTATGAACAAGATGGCAGAAAGTAAGAGCAGGGTATGGATTTATTCCAAACCATTCTTTAGAGTTGGGTATTACTGCCTCAGATACATATTTGTGGTTCAAAAATAACCTGTGCACCAGCATACTCATAAGTCACAAAAGACTTCACGATAACTGTTAAAGAATGTAAAAAGGCCCTAGAATGGTATAGTATAATAGTTATCAAAGTGTAGACCCCAGGACAGCACCAGAAACTGGGGACTGGCCCTGCTGTCTGTTTTAAAAAGCCGCTCAGATGTTTGCCACGCACACTGAAAAGATCCTGACCCACTTCTAGGCTGTTCCTCACAAGCAGGGAACCACTGGTAGACTAGGAAGCCCATGGTCTTCGTAGTCATAGAGACCTGCATTTGAATCCTAATTCCATCACAAACGAATTCTTTCTCTGAGTCTGTTTCCTCATCTGTAAAATGGGAATAATTGCTATCTTATAACATTTTGATGAAGATATAATGAGAGAAAATTGTTTGTATTGGTGTATGAACGTGTCTTTTCTAATACAGTCTCTAAGTCATGGTATATACTCTGTAAAGAATTATATCTAATTTTGAAACTTGGGCTAAAAGTATGCTTTTAACATGAAATTATTTTACCTTTTAGGGAATGTGTCAAAATCCTAATGTAGATAGGTTTAAAAGAACGACCTTTGTCAATAGATTTAATTAGGTCAGGCATGTTAAAAATACTGTGGTAGAAAATCTTCACAGACACATTTACCTAATTACTAGTCACGTGGATATTTACGGTGATCAAGAGTTTTGTAAATAAATGAGTTCATATAAAGAGCTATATAGGATGAAATGTGCTGAGTTGCATGAATTATCTTTTTTCTATAACTGTCTTGACTCACTGCCATTTTATGAAGATAAACTTGAATACTTTAATAAATGGGCCAAGGTCACAACCGAGTCTTAGGATAAAAGAACAAGATACTGTCAAATTAGGCTTGTTTCTTGCCTTATCACTGGCAACACTATAGCAACTCAAGAACATGGAGAGTCAGGTCACTCATTTATTTTTAGGACCCTCCTGCCTCTTAACTTCCCATATACACAGTTAACAAAATGTCTCATGCAGAATATATCCTCAATTAATGTTTGCTAAGAAGGATGCTAAGCTTAGGTTGAATTTTATACTAATGTGAAGAGCACGCAGATGACAGCAAGGAGAGAACTGTCTTACTCAGTCTGATGAGTGTCCACAATGGAGGTGAGTGAGCCCAGCCGCTCCTCCAGAGTATTAATTCTGTATCTCATGTAGAAGGTCGAGATGATTAGTGCACAGACACTGGAAAAGGATAAAAGAGAAATTCTCCATAGGTTAATGGCCAGGACCTGATGGTCATAAAACAATAAATTCAGAGGCAACATTATACATTTGAGGCAAGATATTTTTCCAAAATAACTTGGCTAAAGAGACTTTAAAAAGGTTTTTTTTTTCCAACAAACAGAAGCTTGTCACAAAAGTTTAGAACTAGAGGGATATTACTGAAAATTCTCTAATTCCTCAGTTTACAAATAACGGCCATTCAGCAGCATCACTTGAGGCCAGGCAGGGTAGAGGACTGAGCTGGTACCCCTCCTCCCACCAGGTACTGTGGGAGGCCCTGGCCAGTGCGGGTCCAGCCTTGTGACTCCCCAGATCCCTGCTTTATCTGGAAACCAAACTGGTGCATCCTCCTTGGTTGTGAGGAACAGCCTAGAACTGGGTCAGGCTATTTTTAGAAGAACAATTGGTTATAGACTGGAAGCTGAGGAGGAAGTTAAAGTCTATGCCTAAGCTTTCAATAAAAGTGGGTGACATTTTAAAGTTGTTTTGGTCTCTACCCAGAGGACATGGGAGAGACGGAAAACAACAGGAACAAAGATGCTTTGTAATTCAGGACCCGATTTCCCACCTGAGAGTATCCACCCAGAACTTAGTCCTCTGCTGGGTCTGGCATAGTTTGCTTTTCCTTCCTCCCTTCTCACTATTTTAAACAAGAAGGGGACAAATATGAAAATGTGACCTAAGTTTTAGAAAAAAGATGTTGAAGCAGGAGACAAAAGTTGCCCCCCAGAAGATTTGGGTCACACTAGAGACAACTGAGATTCACAGTGACTCTTGGTAACGTGAGATTATTCTGTAAGTGGAAAGAAATCATGTTCTTAAGGCACTCATAGTAAATTCATTTACTTACACAACTGCATAGAATATAAGAATATGGTGGAGAGTTGGACATTTCTGAGACTTAACTCTGTGTACGATTCCAATGGTTTCTGGCTGACCTGCTGGGTGGAAAACAGAAAGTTTTCAACTGTTTAAAAATGTTAACACATTTCTTCATGCAGCAGCACTCCTATAGGGAAGAAGCACTGGAGAGACAGAATTAATTCCAGCTAATAGAAATCAGACAAAATACTAACTGAAGCATGCCGGTTCTCATTTTAACTGGTTACAATTCCTTCCCACGTGTTTCATTCGATAGATGTTTGTTGGGAGCTTTCTGTGTCAGGCATTGTGATGGAGGGCTGGTGAACAATACAGACACCATCCTCGATTTCCTACTGGTACAGCTGGTAACCAGTTATTAGACTAATCAGTAAATAATAATTAAATAATTTGAATTTTACTAGTAAGTTTTGAATCACAGTCTCAAAGTATTCCGAACAATGAAGGGTCCTCCATGAAGGCTCTTCACCTTTGTATCCCCCATAGTAAAGCAGAGAACTGGGTACTGTTTGCTGAGTGAATAAATGAATTAATATGCCAAGACCTACAGCAGGTCATAAAGTGAAACCTGGGGACCCTTTCAGAGTTACAAGCAGATGCTCCTGCCACCCCCCAAAATAATCTATTCCTTACCATGTGCAGGGAGGCTCTTGGCTTTTCCTTCAGGTACTCTGTTCACGAGGGCATCTGCCCGAGTTGGTTTTGCTTCTCCCTTGGAGACATTCAGAACTGTCTGGGATTCTGTCACATGGAAATCTATCAAAACAGGGCTGGGTAAGTTTTCTCCCCAGTGTATTTAAACACATAGCGTCAACCACAAGGCAAATCAGTCCCTCAATGTGCACAATGGCCAAGAATATAAACGGATGCCCTCACCAGCTGGTTGAGTGTTTTGGGGTTGAAATCCAATTCTCAAGCAAATAAGGACTGAAAAGATACAAGGGCAATCTGTCCTTGCCCGCTGACTCATGGGGACGATTCAGCTACAGCACTTCATAATATTACTAAAGAAGAGGTCAGAAAATAGTACATGTTTCTCTCTTTCAACCACTCCAATAGTATGTCTATCCAAGAGATGTTTCTTAAATGTGTGTAAAGGGAAGTGAGTTTTTTCTTTTTTTAAC